TATACATATATCGAAGATGGACTGATAATGTTGTTAACGCTAATTTTTCAGCCAGCGTAAATGACAAACAATAAAGACTTTAAGGCTCGTTGAAATTGTCAACAAGAAATATATAAGGCCATACGAGCCAATTGCAGGATGTTTGTGCACGCACAGTTTCTGCACAAACATCCTGCAATTGGCTCGTATGGCCTTATATATTTCTTGTTGAAAAGTTTGGGAGATAGTGAACAGGAAGAGAGAGGAGGAAAAAAGAAGGCATTGAGATAGATGAATGGAAGAAGTACTTCATGAGATTGCTGGGAGGGGTAGAAGGGAGGGTGGTAAGAGGAAGAGGAGGAAAAGGATCAGAGGAAGAAAAGGAGAAGGACATTGAGAAAGAAGAAATAAAAAAGGCGATAGATAAACTGAGGAACGGAAAGGCAAGCGGAGTAGACGGGATAGGTCTGGAAATATGGAGAGAAGAGGATAGAGAGAGCTGGGTAGAAGGACTTTGCAACCGGGTGTGGAAAGGAGAATGGTGACCAGAAGATTGGAAGGAGAGAATCATTGTGCCTATAGTCAAGAAAGGAAAGGGGCAGAGGGTAGAGGATTACAGAAGAGTAACCTTGATGACGGCAGTATACAAAATGTATGTGTCGATACTGGCGGAAAGAGTTCGGGAAGATTTAGAGGAGAAAGGGATAATCCCGCACAACCAGATGGGATTCAGGAAGGGTATGGAAACAATAGATAATATTTACGCATTGAACTACCTAGTAAACAGACAAACAGGAAAAAAAGGAGGAAAGCTGGTAGCCTTGTTCGTAGACCTGAAGGCAGCATTTGACTCGGTAGGTAGAGAGGTGTTAGTAGAAATATTGAGGGAAAGAGGGATGAGAGAGGGGTTAGTAAGGAGAGTGGAACAGATACTTAGGGAGACAAAATGCAGAGTAAAGGTGGGAGGAAAGGAAAGAAAATGTTTTTTGACGGCAAGAAAGGTAAGGCAGGGGTGCCCCCTCAACTCCTTGCTCTTCAATATTTTGATAGCGGACATGGAGGAAGAAATGGGGAAAGTGAGATGGGGTGGTGTGTTGTTAGAGGGAAAGAGAGTATTCACACTGGCGTACGCGGACGATATGGTTCTATTGAAAATAAAGGAAGAAGAGGAGGGAATGAGGAGTATGTTGAAAAGGTTGGAGACGTATCTAGACAAGGAGAGAATGAAGTTGAATGTAGAGAAGACTAAAGTGCTGAGATTTAGGAAGGAAGGAGGGAGAGAAAAGAAGAAGGAGTGGAGATGGAAGGGAAAGAGGATCAAGAAGGTCAAAGAGTTCAGATACCTGGGATACGTGCTGAGAAAGACTAGAGATCAGGAAGCGCAAGATAGAGGAAGAAAAGCGGCAGCTGTGTTAGGACAAGTGTGGGGTATAGGGAAGCAAAGATTTGGGAAGGAGTGGGGAAAAAGGTAGTGGCTTTTCGACAAGTCGATCTGGACGGTAATAAGATATGGGGTGGAGATTTGGGGGTGGAAGGAGGGGGAAGTACTGGAAGGGAAGGAAGAAAGATATCTGAGATGGTTATTAGGAGTGGAGGGGAGAACGCCAAGGTATATAATGAGAGAAAAGCTACAAAAGGAGAAATTATGTATAAGAGCAGGGAGAAGAGCGTGGGAGTACGAAAAGAGACTAAGGGAGGGGAAAAGTAGTGATATTGCGAGGAAGTGCTGGGAAGAGATGAGTGGAAGGGCGAAAAAGGGAAGGGGGCTATCGGAGTGGGAGAAAGAGAGGTTGGAATTTTTTGAAAGAAAAAGAATAGAAATGGAGGAGGTGAGAAGGAATATAGAGAAAATAGAAAGTGGAGAAATGTGGAGTGGTGAATGGGAAAAGATAGAGAGGAAGAGGCAAGCGGAGGAGAGATGGGAGAGGATAGAAGGATGTAGAGAAAAATACAACAGATGGTATAGATTGGTTAAAAGAATTGGAGTGCCGGGTTATTTGAAGAAGAGATGGAATAAGAGAAGATGGACGCGAGTGGCAAGGTTCAGGCTTGGAAAGAAAGTGGGAGAAAGGAAGTACTGGAAAGGGGAGGAGAATAAGTTATGTAGGCTTTGTGGAGAGGAGGTGGAGACTTAGGAACATGTCTGGGAGAGGTGTAGGCGATGGAAAGACGTAAACGAGAACTGGCAAGAAGCGGTGGGATGGGTTTTGGGGGAGAATGGGGAGGAGGAAGAATGGATAAAGGAGCTGGAAAGAGAAAGAAAAAGGACAATGAGAGGAAAAAGTTTGGATAAGTTGGAGGAGGAGGAAGTAGAAGCAGCGAAGGCAGTAAAAAAGAGAGGGAGGGCTTCACGGGGAGAGAGAAAATGAGAGTGTATGGATGGTAGAATGAATGAAGGAAAAGTATGAAGGAGAAGAAGGGAAACTTGACGAAAAGGCGAGAGGAAGCGGGAGCCCGAAGGGGGGAGCGTGTGTGTGTGTGGGACAAGGTAAGGAGATGGCGTGATTAACATACGATCTCGCCATCCCTTTAATATAATTTAAGTTAGATTTAAGTTAATTTTAAGTTAGTTTGAAGTAATGATGGAGAAAGTATAAAAGAATGTAGTCAGGAAGAGGTGTTTTTTGTAAAAGTTCTGGGTACGTTTTTTTAAAAAACGCCTTGTAAACCCGGTTTGCTGGGACACTAAATGTTTACTACTACTACTACTACTACTACTACTACTACTATATATATATATATATATATATATATATATCGAACAGAGACACTTACCTTGGAACTTATGTATATTTATTCGTGTCCCGTCCTGCGTTTCCCGAACGAGAAGTGGGGAGAGAAATAACAACTTCTGATTGATTGATTTTCTTATGTCTTATGCGTTATGCGTTATGCAAAAGTCTGTGCTTTGGCTTTAATACACAAAATATCAGAGTGCATATGCATAGCATAAAACTATATAAACCAATGAGCGTCTAGCTTGATTTTATGTACATCAATATAGCGACTTAATGCTAGACGTTCATTGGTCCATATAGTTTTATGCTATGCATATGCACCTATAGATGCGGTTAAAGTCTCACTGCAAATGTTCGAAACATTATTCTATCTTTATTGGTTACGTTCAGAAAACTCAACGGTTGAGAAATCATCACTTATGAGAGATCACTTATTAGGACTATTCTTCAAAACCTGAAACGGTTCTAAACGTATGATCCAATCATAAGTGATTATCTCTCAACCGTTGTGCAACTGTTGAG